GCTATTAAGTCATAACCTTGCAATCAAATTATTTGCATCAGCTGGTCTGGATAGATTGCATGCAAGAGTGCTAAAGGAACTGGCAGACATCATAGCACAGCCACTGGCAAGGATATTCGAGAACTCGTGGCGCTCAGGCAAAGTACCTGAAGATTGGAAGAGGGCCATTGTGGTGCCTATCTTCAAGAAAGGGAGGAAAGATGACCTGGGAAACTACAGGCCCATCAGTTTGACCTCAATCCCTGGGAAGATCTTGGGAAAATATATCAAAGAAACCATTCTTGACAGGCTAACAGAAGGCAACATCCTGAGAGACTGCCAGCACAGGTTTGTTGCGGGTATGTCTTGCCTGACCAACATCATTTCCTTCTATGACCAGGTGACATATCACCTGGACAAAAGGGAAGAGGTTGATATCATACATTTGGACTTTAAAAAAACCCTTTGACTTGGTGTCCCACAATGTCGTCATGGAAAAATTGGGCAACTGTGACCTTAACTACACCAGTCACATGGCTGGGAAGCTGGCTCCGAGGTCGGACCCAGAGAGTGGTAGTTGACGGAACTGAATCAACATGGCACTCAGTGACCGGTGGTGTCCTCCAAGGCTCTGTTCTCAGACCTGTACTCTTTACTGTCTTCATAAACGATCTGGACTCTGGTGTCAGAAGCAGACTGGCTAAGTTTACTGATGACACCAAACTTTGGGGAAAAGTATCCACACTTGAGGATAGGCTAGTGATCCAGGCCAACCTCAATAGGCTTGCAAGATGGGCAGATGAAAACCTGATGGCATTCAGCAAGGAGAAATGCAAGGTGCTCCACCTTGGGGGAAAAAAACCCACGTCACACTTACAGGCTCGGCAATGCTACGCTCACTAGCACCACAACCGAAAGAGACTTGGGGGTCATGATCGACTACAAGACGAACATCAGCCACCAATGTGATACTGCAGCTGGCAAAGCAACCAAAACTCTGGCTTGCATCTACTGATGCATCTTGAGCAAGACACAGGATGTCATCCTCCCGCTGTACTCGGCCTTGGTGAGGCCGCAGCTGGAGTACTGCACCCAATTCTGGGCTCCACAATTCAGGAAGGATGTGGAGAAGCTTGAAAGAGTCCAGAGGAGAGCCATGTGCATGATCAAAGGGCAAGAGAACAGGCCTTATGAAGAGAGACTGCTAGCTATGGGACTCTTCAGCTTGGAGAAGTGCAGGCTCAGGGGTGACTTGGTGGCACCCTATAAGTACATAAGGGGTGTGCATCAGGACCTATGGGAACGCCTGTTCACCAGAGCACCCCAAAAGGATGACAAGGTCCAACAGTCACAAACTCCTGCAAAACTGCTTTAGCCTGGACATAAGGAAAAACTTATTCACTGTCCGAGCCCCAAAAGCCTGGAACAGGCTCCCCCCAGAGGTGGTGCAAGCACCTACTCCGGACACCTTCAAGAAACATTTGACACCCATCTAGCTGGGATCCTTTGACCGTAGCCGACTTCCTGCCCCTTGGTCAGATCGCTGGACCCAATGATCTTATAAGGTCCCTTCCAGCCCTAATGTCCATGAAATCTATGTATCAAAGAGTACAGAAAAATTAGAAAATTCAAATATAAATGCATTTATCTTCCAAGTTATAAAGCTATGCCTCTGTAAAAACCTATACAGTTATAAAAGATTACAGGATATAGATGTTAGTATTCTTCTTCTCACTCTCTTCAAAATAAAAGCATAGTTACTTTCATGTCAACTGATAAAAACAAGTGCAGAAGTAGTGCGGAGGTTTGGGTTTGGGTTGTAGTGCGGAGGATTTCATGCAGTTGAGAACACTTTCTCAGCCAAAATATGCTTTTCCTTACAGGAATTAGAACTGAACAAGCTTTTCACTTCAAGTCAATATTTTTAATTTAAAAAAAAAATTATAACAAAAATGACTTAATAGGGCATAAATAATTTATCAATTTATTATTTTTGAAATGTAAAGAGGACCTAATTTAAAGTAGCATTTGTATCACAGCCCAATGTATTTTTACTATGTCCCAAGTGAAAATAACTTTCCTTCCTAACAGCAAAGGCTGAACTGCATATCTTAGATATACCTATTATTGGCTTGTTCTCAATAAAATCCAATTCTTGCCCAATATCCACCCACTGAAATCTACAAAATTTAAAGTTATATTACAGCAGGCCACCTTTTACTTTATAAGATTTATTCTTGATTTTTGAAAACGTATATACATTGTAGACTCAACAAAATGCTATCTCATCCTTTCAACAAAATAAAGGCAACTGTCTTCTTGCTAGCTTCTTTTTGATAATAGTATAGCTAAACTGCAAATAAGAATCTGGCATCCAGATAAAGATAGTATTGCCATTTTGTTAACAAGGAGCTGGATTAGATTACTCTGTAATTACATGGTTCTGTAGTGTGATTAATTGCTTAACAACAGGATACTCAATGTAGCTGCTTAATGGAAATTCAATATTCACAGGTAGAATACCAAATATGCACCTGTAACTAAAAGTTTAAATCTTCAGACAGCTTAATATTCTTCAGTCGAGTTAGTGGGGTTATGAAAAATGTGGTTCATTTTAAAAACTTATTTGATATTCTTACATTAACACTTTTAGATTAACCATTCAATTTTTTTTTTTGAGTGACTCCACTTTTATAAATGTATTTACATTTCTTGGAAAAGCTACATAAAAATTCAGACCGACAGGTATGCTGATAAGTATCCGACAACAAGAACATCTGTTTAGTCGTTCTTCACTATCCCACATCCAAGAGTCCCACTATAACTCCTACTCAGGTGGACTCTTGTCAGCTCTGATTCAGAATCTTCTTACTCAAGAGATGAAACTCCCCTGCCTGTCTTCCCTATCTGTAAAATGAGACTCGTTATTTCAGTATTGTAGGGAGCAGCAATTGATTTCTGCAAAGCGCTACGTAAGTGGTAAAATTCATCTAAAAACCCTGGGACCTAATGACTCCCGAACTCACAGCTTACTTGGAAAATTTTCCATTGAAAATATTTTAAAGTGTTGTTTCAAGCTTGGACCACAAAGCAGTGGGCTTCACTGCTCTTGTACCTGAAGACTGGAAAGAAGGAATCAAAGATGCCTTTCTGTGTATACAGATCATTAGTTAAGATGAATCACTTCACTTTACTGTGAAATGCTTTAAAATCATACGGTCCACCTTTTCCATGGAGTTGATTATACTAAGAATGTGAGCCCTGAAGTAATTTACTTCACATGATTTCTCATTAAAAGCTAAGAGCAGCTGACTCCAGTTTCAGAAGGGACTTGAATCCAAACCTATAATAAAACCTACCCTCTCATATGTGTGCAATATTGTGGGAGCTCTACTGTACACTGATAGAGTTAAGCAGGGTTTGAATTATGGGGGCCTCAGGGTGCCTGAGACCCCCGAGACCCTTCTTTGTTCTGTACAAGGTATAGGTAAGATGGGGTGGGAATGCACACTATAGAGAACATCTCCGTAACCTGTTATACCACATGCATGTGAACAATATTATTTCTGCTGCATTCAGAGCTTTACTGGCATTAATTTGGCTTGGGTACAGAACTGTAATTTTTGGTCACTCTTTTGCTGCAGTTTGAAATGGCATTTTCTTTGTTTTTAGAAACTAATTTGAAAGGTATTTTATTGCTGTATGTAGATCTCAGGGCTATAATTTCATCTGCCTCATTTTTTCCTAACTTCCAGGGCAGCCAGCAGGGTTTTCTGTTCCACACAGTGCCTACAATTTGGGATGCATAATTTATGAGTTTAAGTTTACCTTCTTGTTCCAGTTTTAGACCTTTAACTGAGCAATGGATTTGGTTTGTATTATCCATATCAACAGGTTATTAATATAATATGGAGCTATCACCAAGTGCACACTAGATCTTACTGAAACAACTTTTCTTGCTTTACTTTCATAATTGACACAACTAAAACTGTGGATTTACCAAGTTGGTGTTTGGTCTCACAATCAGAATGCAGATTCAAGCATGCTCTTGATTTGGAAGGGTCATTACTTACATCAGGTTAACTGGATTTTTTATTTTCATGCCAGAAAAGGGGCTAAGTTCAGAGGCAATTAGTGTATGCTTGAGAGTTTAAGTATAAAGTAGCCTTAACTCGGTGTAACTTAAATACAAGTAACAGAAAGACGGCACAAATTTACAAAGGAAAAGATGACATACCCTCACAGCCCCATTAGACATTTTTTCTGCCACGTTCTTGTCTTTCAGCCTCTGGGGTCAAGTTCAAATGTGATTTATAAACAAGAAATATAGCTAATCATGCTGGAATCTAAGTAAGTTTAATCTAATAGCAAATGAATCTCCCAGCAGTCTGAAGAAGGACATTTTAACAAAAGTCCCATTACTGATTTATTATCTCTTGTCATCCTGCTGCAGAGGTGTTTCCCCCAACCATGGGGAAAAAAGTGAAGATGTTTCCAAATGCTGTAAATCACAATAAATCTAAACTTAACACAGACCATAAAATAGATGGTACTTGTCTTACCAGCAGCTCCTCCCCCCTTTTTAGAAGAATGCTACCTAGCTACCAAAACTGAGTCTGAAGGCCCCAGGAATGGTCTCTCCACAGGGCAAGGAACAGTGCATAAGCCAGAAAGAAGTCCTTCTAGGATCCAGTCCAACTAGGATAGTGAATAGTGATGGACAAGACACTTTTCTCCAGATGGTGGAGGAAAGGACTGTTTGCACCTAGAATACCAATAGATAACCTTAAGGTGGACTGATCTCTCATTTAGTAATTTTTTTTTTTTTAATACTTCGCAGTATAAAGAATATTTTTGTTGAATTTCACTTTTGTTGGAGTTGCAGAGATATAATTTAAGCATTTCTTTCTATTTAATTTCAATACATTAGTATCTGTATATCAGTGTTGGATGTTGTCTTAATTAAATCCTTTGAATCATTATAATTTAACAATTAATTGCACTTTTTGTTCACTTTTTAGTGTAGAGTTGGATTTTAAGCAGCAAGAAGACAAGCTACAGCCAGTTCTGAGAAAACTTCATCCTATCGAGGAAACTCAGGTTGCACCTTTGCCTTACACTCAGGAGAGTTACTCCTCAACTCCCAAGCAAAAATCCAAAACTGAATCAAAAAAGCATGGAAGATGGAAACTCTGGTTTCTTTAACTAAATAAAGTCCACTAGACCTGGAATTTAAGGCCTTCTTTGAAACATATTTGGAATTCAATTATTCATATCAAAAAGGGATCTTGGTAAATTGATTAGCGTTTTCAGCCAGTGTTATTCTGATTATTATGGGCAGCATTCAGTTCTCAACATATGTACCAAAAAGGCCTTTGTACCTATAAATTAACATTCAGGAGCAAGGCGTTAAATCATACCTTGCCAGCTTCTATTTGCAGTTCACCTATGTGGGATGTAAAAGCTAAATCAAAATCCATATAGAAAAAGATGGCTAGTAAAACTATTCCCCTCAAGTTGGATCTGAAAGAATCACATTTCAACCTGTTAAACAGCAGGCTGTCATCCTGTACACGGATAAATATCACTATTGATTTTCAAGCCTTTTTGAGTTTTTTAGCTTTGCCTGTTTTGTTTTTGCTTTTAAAATATCAATGAAAAAGAACAGCAAGCCTTATGTTTGCTATGATCTCCAATTTTACATATACACGGGGATTGGGGGAGTGCAATTTTTAGCACATAATGTCCTGGAGAAAGCACAATTTTTCAAATGGTCCAAGACCATAAATAATCTCTAAGATGTGACTATGTATATTTGCCTTCATGTACTGTAGACTTAAATCAAGTTATGACATCTCAGCATCACATATTGACACCTCTAATTTAATGTCATGTTCATCGCCAGACTTATGACAAGTTTACTGCTCATTTCCAAAGGGCGAGCAGCCAGAACCACCCAAAGTCAGGACATGCCTTTAATCACTGCAAGTTGACAGGGTCAAAGCTATGGGACACCAAGCTTTCTTAGATCTCATTTTTAATCTTTTGGTACCCAAAGGCCAAAATGATACATTCTGGCACAGAATTTGAAAAAAGAAAAAACAAGATGGATAATATTACGTTACAAATTGTTGGCATTTGCCACAATTCAGTATCTTTTTGTACTTCAGTCTTCTGAAAACTGTATAGTATTGTAGAGGGAGTGAGAAATTTTGTAGTATGCATTATGCTTTCTAATGAGTTGAGAAGGACCTTGCAATTTTAAAAGCTACTTATTTAGCTTAGCTTCTAAGGTGGGTTTCCAGACCAACATAGTATCATTTATATTTAAATAATATATTAATCGTACTTGCTAACCAACACACTTAGGGAAAAGCTGTGAATCAAATTTTTCTTAGACTTTTTAAAAACAAGGACACTTTAAATCTGCTCTGTTACACACTGCAGTCTTTCTTTGAATATTTACTACCGTTATAGATTATGCCCTAATCTATAATGACTGTTTGTGGAAAAATTCTTGTAATGGTAGGGAGTCAAAATCTTATTGCTCTTTTTTGTCAAATAATTTAAGTAGTGCAGTCATGTGACAAACTGGTTTACAAGCTATTGGTTCTGCAACTTCATATCCCAGTGCTTCATTCAGACATATTTTTTTCAGTCTTTAGATGCAGCAAAAAGGTAGAAGAAATGAATCCCTACCAGAGGCATCTTCACCTACTTAATAAACCTTGAGGAGTCTATATTTATACTATTTTCCCTTATCTCTACATCAAATCCATTTTAAGTACTATTAGTTCTACAAGATACCTGAGGCAAATGATTTGATCTTTGTCTTGAAAAAAAACATTAGAAAGTTAATGTAAGAACATACAATATATGTGAAACTGTTTATGTCCACTTAAAAAAAAATCTATTTCAAAATGTATGCTTTAATGAACAACTCACCTTTGTAGTAAATTTCAAGAGGGCTACAAAACCTTGTACATAAACAAACAATATACTAAAATATTTTTGTGAAAGATAAAGGATGAGAAAGGTGATCCTGCGCCATGAAGGAAGTGCAATTGTTTCATGTGGAAAAAATGTGTTTCATGTATTTTATACCGTTTTTAATTAAAGTTATAAAACTGTTTACAAGATAACCCACCTTACATGTTTTAAAAATTCCAGATATTTCAGAGCATTAAATGTGTATATATAGATATTATTTTTTTTCCTAAAGAGAACAGAAATCCTCAAATATGGGCATAAATAGGAAAAACAAAAAGTATTCAATGTTTTACAACAGTGATAAACTGCAAGTTACAGCCCCACACATACAAAGGAAATAGAGATGTTGAGTGTATTAAGAAGAAAGAAAGAAAGAAAACTCAAACACCTCACAACTAGAATTATGTACAAAATAGTGTCCACTAATTTGCAAAATTTCCCACAAATCCATTCTAAATCTCTTGCAGGCAGGGACTGATACAAAAAAAACTCTTTGAAATGTTTTTATGCTTGGTTACTGTGCCATACACAAACTAATGTTATACAAGCATTCAGAAGGAAAAAGAAGAATTCATGGCTGAAATATTTAAGAAGTAAATGTGAACATTATCACAGTGTTCTATACATGTCCAGACTATTTTCTTAAACAAGTTGCAAATTTTTAATTTTTTACATTTTTTTAAAAATGAAAAAGCTAACATGCATAGTCTTGCTTAAAATTACGTATTGTGCTATATCGTACCATACAATGTAATTTGTAATAAAATGTTTTTGCAAGTGTGTAAAATGTATCATATTGTATTACATTCAGGATCACTCAGGCTCAGTTTAGATAATGAGAGGATATTTTGATTCTTTCTAACTTTTAGTTACATAGGACATCTGAATGACACAGAACTACTTCCATTTCAATGCAAGACATTATAAAATACAGGTATGAGATTATAACAGAGGAAACTCATCAGCGCTGTTAACATGGTAGGGTGCGTATTTTTGCTGCTAAACTCCTTGCCAATTTCATGCACTCTCAGACACGAATTTACTATGTGCACTTCTCCCATATCATGTTTTAATAATTTTCTAATTAATAAGTACTGCAGTAATTTTTACATTACTTCCTGTTTTCATACTACAATGGACAATGTTTTCCAAGTACTGCATAATTCCCATTAAGTAAAAATGACATTCCTTTGTCTTTTTATTATTATTAGGACACACGTGTACGTATTACTTGCTTTCTTAAAATTAATCACTGTAAAAATATTTGAAAATTAGGATAAAGTGAAAAAAATCATGATTAAAATCGAAAAAACACGCCATAAATACAAACTCTTTTCTTTTTCTTCCTTCAGATGCTGCAAAATAACTGCCTATACATTCTTTAATTTCATTCAGTGTTTTAATGGTGCATTACATAAAAAAGGAAGATAAATTTTTCACATGCATTTTAAAAGCAAGCAAGCTGTTAAAACTGCATTATTTCAACAGCATCTGTGTAATAGCACACAGCATGTACTACTGCGTGAATTTGGTAACGATGATTGCCACTAATAATATAATAGCAGTATGTACATAGCTCTGCTAAACTAGGATAAAGCAGAAGGCTTGAAGCATTTCTTAGCATTATTTCAGCACCAATAAAGTATGACTGCAGCCTATTTAAATTAATTGGAACTGCTGAAAATATGCTGCCAATGTATTTAGGTGAATGCAGTCTGCTGTGATAAAAATGGGTATGGCCTATACTGTACCAATTTGCTGCATTCATGATGTTAGTCACTCTACAGTACATAAAAAGATAGTAATGATGGAACAAAAATCATAATAATTATTCAATACTACTCTTAATTTTTACAACAATAGCTTGCAGCAACCAATCTGAAATCTGTCTGAGTGGGAAAATGTAAATGGTGCCACATGCAAGTACTGTTTTTCACACTGTAACAGCCTAATATAGACAGTGACACTACAGACTTTCTGCTTAAGAATTTAGAGCTCACTGCACATTGTCATTCATAGAGTTTAAAATCAGACTAGAATGCAGATAACCCTGCATTGAGGCCAATCAGTAACTTGTTTCACTATCGCGCGCTCTCAAGAAAGGCATCACTACTTGAAGACTTCAGGAGAAGGAGAAACTACTCTAGCAACGTGTTCAAACATTTAATCTTCATTGTTAAAAAACTGAGCAATATTTCTAATTTGAATTCATTTAGCCCTCCCTTCCAGACCTTTGTTCTTATCATTCTTTTTTCCACCATAAGTTAATGCAGTCCTTTAGTACTGTATTCCCCTACCAGCATTGTCATCTTTTTTGGATTCACAATCCTAAACACGTACTAATAAAAGTCAATCTGATATGTTTGTCAACATGAAGGCATCTCCACTCTATAAATTAGTCTACTATCTGCCATTTAGTAAAGTAACAGCTCATATATCTTACATCTTTTGCTATGCGGTATTTTTTCCAGCTCTCATTGTTGTGGTTCCTCTTTGGCACCTTCCCCAATTTTGCAACATTCATGTTAAAAAGTAAAATACCAGAACAATGCTTCAGAGTTCCAGTATCAGTATCAGCAGTAGCACAAGATCATCACCCCACTCCTTTTCACTATTCCTTGTTCATACATTCAAGCAGTACAATACCCCTTTTTACTAGAGTATTCCACTGGGAAGGTCACGTTGAATATGTTCATCTACTACAAACCCCTACTACTTTTTCGGTCATGGCTTTCCAGGATATGGTCTCCCACTCTGGAGATATGTCCTGTAATCTTTGTTTCTAGACCTATGACCCAGCATTAGACTGCACAAAAACAGATTTCATTTGAATGCTGACAGCTTACCAAGAGATCCATATGGCTTTGTAAGAATACTACTTACCGAAACAGTTGACCTCTACAAAATGCTGAAAACAAATTGGGTTGCTCTTTCTGATTTATTTGGGATTTTACGTTCTATTTGTTTTGATCTGTTGACAAGTATAAAGTGTAACATGCAAAGACACTTCTCAATAATATTTACAGGACAATCAAGGTCTACTTTAAATTTTTTAAGGCAGCCCATTTTTAAGGTTCAGTCAAAGGCAACTTCTTTCTGTAAGCTTAAGTATAAAATAGTAAAATAAAATAATAGTGTGGGTAGAGCGAGTATGAACAACAGAAGAAATAAAATGAGAAAAGGCTGTAAGAAATGAGATATGATAAGATTTAAGCTGGAGACTGATACTGAATTCATTTATTATAAAAGACCATAGTTATCTTGCAAATCATTGTCCATTTCATATTCTAACAACAACTCAATTTTCTTCACCTCTGGGTGTCAAGGATAAATTGATACAAATTTCCTTTAGCTTTACCACACTGTAACTAATATTCAAATTAGTTTACTCCTATGTGTCAAATAAACTTTAAAAAAAATCTGTGCAAAATGATGTTACTTCAAGGAGAAATATCCCAAAGTAGTCAGTGTGGTAAAACTAATTGCTGTTGTAAATTAGAAATTGCACTTTGTATGGTAGAGTATCTAACTTCACAACTTTCAATTAAAAGAGCCGATTAAGCGAATAGACTGTGCTTGCATCCAAGCTAAGAGAAACCAATACCATTAAGTTCTTCTGCATATGAAGCAGCACATTTCTTATAAATTGCCCAAGCTAAAACAAACAAGTTGTTATCATGAATACTAACTTGAGCACAAACAACAATTCTTTTGCTTATATCCACCAGGATGCAGTCAACCTAATCTTAATCTTGCCCTTTAGGAATGTAGATAAAACACACTATAGACTATTTTTATCTATCTGTAAAATTTATGGCCGCTGACATGTGGGAAAAAGAAAAAAATAAGATTTACCAGAAGAGGAATCGCATCAGTTTGACCCGGTTTACCCAGAGTCTGTATAGCTCCCACGCTTCAGCGGGGGGCTTTATTGGCGCTTTTATCTAATAGCTGATTGAATCAGCTATTAGATGAAAGTATCAAAAGCCCTGCTGAAGCTCATGAACTATATAGACGCTGGCCAAGCCAGGTCAAACTGACGCAATTCCTCTTCTGGGCATGTGCTGCACTTGGCACAGGGGGTACACCAAGCTGATAGTAAAGTACTGTTTTGTTTTTTCCAAGTCTGTAAGCGGTTTGTAAGCAGCCCAAACTGATGAAACAGAAAATTCAAGAATAAGCTAACTGAATTTCAAGTATACAAGCCAAATCTTCTATTGAGCCTTTTCAACACTAGTGGGACAAAGTGAACATGTAATTCGACCAGGGACATGAATATGAATATAAATATATATTTTTTTTTTTTTGTTAATTTTTATGGGCTGGGAAGTTTGCAGTGGTTGTAACTCTAAGACTTAATTATATAAGAAATCTTCAGAATTCCTTGACCCACACACTGCTTCCTCCCCTGCCATTTCCACCACTGAATTATCCCTGGAAATCACTGCAGATGTCTAATTTCTTCCACGCAGACCTCTGGGTGTAAGTTTAGTTCTCTGCTGAAGTTTCTCCCATCCTTACTATACATGTGGAAAAAAAACAAAACAATACTGGCAGAAAAATAAAGTAACAAACCGAATTTAACTTTAAAGCAAAAGTGAGAGGTATAAAAACACGTCTAAAATGAAACAGGTTGATGCCTTTTTTCATTTCGTGACTCAAAGCTTTCTTTTTCTTTTTTTAATATTTGAAAGTTCCAAATTCAACACCAATGTTTTTTTTCTTTACAACGTATCACTATACTCATTTGTCAACTGCAGGTTTGCGGCTTACACATTCTAGCAGTGTACCTCATATGTTGGAGATCAATGTATGCGACCATTTTGTAAAACACAGTTGTTTACTGTCAGTGTTTATCTCAAAAAAAATTGATAACAGCCATAACCATAATAAAGATTTTAAACCTGATCATTATCTTAAAAGAACGAGAAAATGTACCTTTTGAATAATTCTCAAGTAAGTTTCAAGCAAAACCGAGTATTACTTTATTTAAAATTTGTTAACTAATTTTTTGAGTTACATATCTTCTTGAAAGAGCAAAATAATATGCATTAGTTTCTTGTTATATTAATGCTTATTTTATTGATGCTCTGTGTCCTGTTGCTTGAAAAAACGCTGCTCAAAAATATGAACATAAATTTACTACCCGTGTTTCAAAACAACTGCATTCTATCTTGAATAGCTGAGTTCAGTCATAATCCCCCTTGATATCCAAAACATGAAGTTCTCAAGAACATGTGCACCTGGGCACGGTGTGGATAGAGAACACACTCTTTAAATTAAAAAATGTGTAGACAGTATAAGCTATGTATATTAAAGGCACTATTTGTAACAAAAATTATACAAAACAATACTGTCTTACATTCCTATATGCAGGCTTTAAATATGCTACAGTTTTTGCTTCCCCAGTAATCAGTGGCAAATGGCCTTGGCAGTGGGGCTCCTCCACCAATAAGGTGGGGGAGGGGCAAGCAGCTAAATGAAAAACATTAAAAGGAGCCACTGCAGGGGGTACTTTCGGCACTATTTACAGAGATCCCTACCCATGACTTGTTACCCTAGTGGGGTTACAAATTGTGGGTTTACACTGCCTTACTCTTTTCAGATGGAAGCCAACTACAAGCAACTGATCAAACATGAAATTCCTTTGCTGGCATTAGAGAGGCTCACATAAGGAGTACTCATTTGACTGAATGTTTGCTGAATCAAACTGGTATCTTAATTAAAGCATATTGTCCTGTTCTAAAGGTGTAATTAGCATTATTGCAAATCTTCCAATATCTTTGCATAAGGTCATTTTATATTAACATGTACTGCACTGACAGTTTTTTAAAATATTAAGTCAGTTCCCCAAGGTAAGAAAATGTTTGAACTAAAATACCTATATAGTCTTAGGTAAAATATAAATTATATGTTCTTATAGACAGTACTTTAAAAAAAGCCATAACCCAAATTACCCCTTTACAAAGTCTTTTGTCTAGAATCTGTTTTTAATTTCTGCTTGCTCCACTATGATCTATTCTCTAATCTGAATTCTAGATGCAACAATGCTATCTCTGACAAAAACCAATAATACATAATTCTCGATCTGATGCTGATCCATGAAGAGTAAGGTTACACATATCAAGTACTAATTGCATTTTATTTTTACCATGTTGTTGACACGGTAAGAGTGAATCGTTATTGGTTGATTAGTGAAACTTTCAGAAATACACAGAATTTTAAATGGTAAAGTGTCCCCTTAAAAACTCTTAGTGCTGTTAACTTTCATAAATAATTATAGCATTTTTAATGTAATGCTTTCAGGCTATTCACGTTCAGTGGGTATAATACAGTTATACACAGTTAAAATACATACGTATACATATGTGAAAAAAACTTTAAAATATAATTCATTGCACCTAAGAAGGGGGATGAGCTAACTCAGTGCTAAGTTTTTTCTATTCTGCTTTGGGTGAATAGAACTATCTGAAGACAGTTCCTATGTGCCCAACCTACTCATAAGGTTATGTATAAATAAAAAGAAGTGAGGAATAAAGCTAAGGAACTGACAAATACATCAGCTACCTTTTTACAAAAAGGGATAATCTAATGTACAGAAGGAGTGAATATTTTTTTGTCAGCACTATGTTGTATGTGTATATTACATACAAAATTCAAACCTAATGACTTCCTTCTGCCCTCATATTTCAACATTAAATACTCTTTCTGCAAAACATATTGCTTCATATTAGTTACTCCAATATTATTCCTCATCATCTTTTAACAGTTCTTTTGCTAACACAAACAATTAAGGGACAGCATGCTTGAAAGTAGAAAATAGATGACAAGATGGTAGGCAGTAGTTAGACAGGCAAGAGAAAGGGAAGGTGTTATCACGCTTAGGGATAACAAGTACCATTCAGATGAAGAGTGAAGGACAAGAATGGGAATAGACAGGACCAAGAGGATAGTTTGAGGGACAAGGAAGAGACAGGAAGTAAAAAGAGTGAGATGTCACAGAGCAGAACTAGGGGAGGAAGAAAAATAGAAGAAAAGAGGTTAATGCAGAACACAGTCAATTTTGATTTTTCTAATAAACAACATAATCCAGCCTGGGGAAGGAAGAAGGCAAAGAAGTTTAAGAAGCGACTCAAAGGCAGAAGAGTGTCTGCGTACACTGATGGAATGCATTTCATGATCTCTCTCAATTTCTGTCTCTCTGAAGTTGCTAATAAAATAATTATTCCAGAATTGATACACATCTTTAAATAAATGCATCCATTAAATGCATGTTTAAATGTGCATTACATGCATTTTCATCTATGCTGCAAATCATCCTATATTTGGGATAATGGATAAAGGTTTTTAGAAAAATTAAGGGACACACACACACACACACATACCCTTCCATTTAGCACAGCTTCACTTAAGTCAAGACTGACATCTGTTCCAAAACATATAAATGTCTTAATAAGCAAAATAATAATGTTATGTTTGCTTGTTATTAATTTTTAACCAATTATTTATCAAAAATTAACCAATTGCTAACTCGAATGTTAGCCCTCTTCAAGGGTTATACTCCTCCACTGCTAAGATGTAAGAATATACTCTCCAGTGTCATACATTAGTTTCAAATGACTATTATTTCTAAGGATTTGTGGGAGCAGTCATTGCTTCAGTATACAAACAGTAAATATGACAACTGTCTACATAATTGTAGCATCTGTGTCATAAATAATTATTTAAAAGTAAATCAAGTAAATATTTGTCAAATCAAATGACTGACATGTCAGCCAAAGTTTTTGATTTAAAACAAATCAACTAGTTAATAATTTGTAACTGCAAAAACGAATTATTTTTAGTTAATATATACCCACTAAATCCGATTCATCATTTGGTCACTAGCACTTCAAAAAGGATTTTTCTTCCCCTATTGTAAGACACAGATAAATTATAAGCGAACACTTTACAGTTTACTGAACACAGAAGACAGTTAAAGAAAGCTTTGATTGCTTTCTACCACCAGGGATTTAAATCCTATTACAGGGGGTGAAAGCAGTTGTGATAAAGATATTTTTAAGTTTACGTCAAGAGACACTTACAATGAGCTCCGAATCGCGTCCCATGGAAATTACTGTTCTATTTACTGTCCTCAATAGCTTTTCCATGATTATCTGGACGTGTCGCTGTGTTGGTCCCTGGGGAAAAGGGATAAACTAGTGGAAATTATGGCCAAAAGACAACCAGTACAACTCAAATATTGATGTCTGTCATTAAATCCATCTATAGTGCAAAAACGAAATCAATTGTAATGCAATGCTACTGCTCAGCAAGATGAAAATGGTCTTTGCTAAAAGCAAAGACTGCACAAAGACTTTTTATTAATTACTGCCTGCTACTGATAAAGCTAATTACATAATTATAGTTATTAAATGAAAAGTAAATCTTTGGAGATACTGCAATGCTTATAATTCTAGGTTAGTTGACAATTTAGTTTTTCTAAAGAGATTTTCTTCACCATTTAAACCCACATGTCACTGACCAAAATAAACCTGGCATTTTTAATAATAATATATCACAAACTGAACAACTTATATAAGGCTTTTCAGGCTGCTTCTCAATTGTTTCAATTATATTCTGGTATTAAAAGAGCAGTGTTCACTGGAAATTCTCTTTGTGTACAAGTCTGAGAAACATTTACCAAGCTTGTGCAGAAGCGAATGTATTGGGCAAATATGAGGAGGTAAGCATGACCTCACCTCACACCTCCTACTGTAAACATATTTCTTAAAAGCCAATTCCCTTCAATCTTGTTCCTATTGCATCTTTAGGGGCAATTCTGTGGTTGTCAATTTTAAAAAGTCTTGCCAGACAATTCTCTAAATAAGATGGTGCCCTACAGGTTGCTGCTGGCCAGCTGTACAAACATGCTAGCAAACAGAATTTTTTTTTTTTTTTTTTAAGAATAAGAGGAAAAAATAACCCATAGTTTACCAGATTGATTTCTTCTAGAATCCCTCATCTGCATGTTCAATTTCTGTGATTTTATCATGCTTACTACTTGGGGTCTGACCAATGTCTGGTGTATTGTTACTAGATGAGCCCCAGAGGGAACCATATTCCATTTACCTTGGCCAAGCCAAGTTCTGTAAGAGAAAACCTTTGGCACCCAGGAAAAATATGGTGAGAAGATAAATGCAAGATATCATCTCTTTGCCGCCACACCTTCCCCCCCCCCAAAAAAAAGAGTTAAGAAAAGGAGAGAACTTAAAATAAAGATAAATCTTGTGGTAACTAAGCCATCACCAACTTTACTTTATGTTTACTTCTACCGCCCACACAATACACTCCACTTAAGCGTTAATTGGTATAAACATGAGTTACTAACCACATCTTTCCTGTACAGCACTTCCAGGATGTTACTAAGCAATTGGCAGCAAGCTTCCAAGTCTTCCTGCCTTTCCAAATGATACTTCAGCTGATCTGTCATCATTGGCAGCAAGATCTCCCTGCAGTCTGCATATAAAACATAATATTATGTCTTAAACGGTTTCACAGTTTTTCACATAAAGAACCGCAAAAAAAAGTGTTAATTCAATCAAAAAACTTTCAGAAAAAAAATTACCTTTCATACTAACAACAAGCCATACTAAAATCGCAGAATAAAGTAAAAAAATATTTCATGAAAATTAAGCAACTGAAGCAAGTGAAAATTCTTTAGCATCTCTTATATATATATATATATAACAAGTATACGATTCACCTGGAAGTCTCACCTCAGTGAGGGGAGGGGGGTTAATTAGAGCGGCTCTAATTAAAGTATCTGAAGCGTCATGTGCATCAACATCCCTATGCTGAAACATAGCAGTGAGACCACTAACTAAAACTTGTCAAACAAGCTTAAGTTAAAGCGCCCCTGCCACCATTTTTCAGCATGGGAATGTGGACGCATGTGATTCTGGAGTTTGATTCAGCAGATTTGGTTACAGTGTATTGCAGCAGCCTCAATGTACATGTATATATACCTTTAGACTCTGGCACCCGGCTTCAAGGGAGCAAAATCACAGTGTGAGAGCTGAAACTTCTACACTGTATTTCCCTGAAGGCTATGTATACTCACAACTCCATCACATCACTGCATGTTCATTTTCAATTAAAGGCCTACCCTGTAAGCAGTGAAGAACTAGATTCTAAAAAAAATTGAATGGGTGAATTTATCTTCAGGTAAACATTACCATCACAGGTTACTATTGACAGGCAAGCACTAGCTATGGATATTCCATTTTAGATGCTTCCCAATATGTGAGCAAGCATTCCCACTAAAATGTTAACATAGCGTAACAGTAGTCAAGACCACATTTAGATGTTTAAAGTGTACATGAAAAATTTAACAGGGAGTACAGGAAGATACTGTCTTATTTAAGAGAGGAAAAATATGCTTATATTACATAGGTTTTAATAAAATAACTTTTATAGCACCTTTTATTAGATAATCTTTAAGCAGTTTACACAACAAGAAGTGTTGCAACATTCCTACCTGGTAAATGCAACATGCATATTTACTAGTCTAGTCAGCTGTCAAAAATCTTAAGATATGCAGTCCTAAAATACATTCCCAGAATATCAACGAAAGAACATCCTTCCATTAATTAACAAGGAAGATTCAACGCTACCTGTCCTAACATGTTATTATGTGACTGAAGCAAGATTAAATTCTGAGCACCTTCAACTAACCAAAACTGAACATGGGCAAGTTTAGAGAGAAAAGAACCATATTTCATGCAACATTATTTTCACTGAAAGGAACAAAAGGGAAATGTTGACATGCTGTTGGCAAGCACTTTGGAAAAACAACCATACTAGCTTGTCTTTTAAAGCCTCTAGGGTGAATCAATTATTAGTATCTTTACAAAGGCCTTTAATTAGAGGTTTCAAAATGTTTCTTCTCCCTGTTAAGCCCTACTACTAGGGAATGGTCAAAGATCAATCTATAAGCATGTGGAACACTAAAATTGCAACAACACCAGCTTTGAGTGCATTTGTCTGGAGCCCAGACTGATCAATAGAGAAGGTATTCAAGCTGATTTTGAGACAAGGAAAAAACTTAACTCATTGATTTGTCATACTACTTCCATCTGAAGCTACAGAACTCAATACACAAGGCTAGGTCCTTTCAAATACCAAAGAGACTGAGAAAATTTCCCAGTCACCATTTCAGTGATCCTATCTTCCTAAGCATTAGGCTGTAAGCAAATACACTCTGTGGTTTAAATCTTGAAGTTTATATAATATGATAAGGTAATCAAAGTGTTCAAGATGGCTTGGATGCTCTATCGATCAACGTACATTTCCAAAAAAGGGAGTCAGCACAGAAAGAGCACCTCTGCTATTTGATCTGGCCTTAGCTAATATTCTAAGACTTCCTCAAACCTTTTTTTCAAATCCCTATATGTGTTCCAATATCTGATCCTAAATATTTGATATTTGGAACAGTAATAATAACTAATTATTGGTATAAAAAGGCTACAGATCTACTCAGATGAAGCAGCATTTTAAACATGGTCTTACACGGTTTCTAAGGAAATGAGGGATTCTCAGTAAGGAGAGAGACCTTTTGGAGATCAGAAATAAACTGAGACCAGCAAATGGTTTAAGTGTATTGAGCCTTACAAAGAAAATTGGAAAACAGCAGCAAAAGGTTCTACAATCACATTAACAAGGAGTGAACACGAAGGGAAGACGACCCAATATAATGTTGATGAAGGTTCTTGGTTGAGAACGGGGACAATCTAGGTCAGTACTTGATGTATACTTTGCTTTAATCTTCAATAATAATAAAGATGTAACTGAGGATAGTAGCATAGCTGCAAATGGGAATGAAGTCATAGGAACTACCATACCAGGAGCTGGACGAATATCATCCCATAATACTGAATGAACTAAAATAGGATGGATTTTCAATTAATTAGTCAATTTGGGGATACTACCTTATCACTGGAGAACAGCAAATATGGTGTTCATATTCAAAGAGGAGGAACAGTGATTTAGGCAATCAAAGACCACTTAACTGGATTTTATATTATGCAATATCTTAGAACAGATACTGAAGGAAAAAATAATCATGAACATGGGGGTAGACAGAAAATGAGAAAAAGGCAATAGTTTTATTCAGTAAGATCATGTCAGACCAACTCTGCCTCAAGGCAAATAATTAGCTAAACTGGGAAAACTGGGGATTAGCAGTGTAACTGTAAAGTAAATAAATGATAAACTGAAAAGGAGGCTACAACAGGTTATGTTGTAAAGTGAATTAACAGATTGGAGACGGGTTATTGGTGATGTTCCTTGGGCACTACTCTTGAAATACATCCTGCTCAACATTTGTATTAGTGTGCTTGGTGAGAGAACTACAAAAGCATGCTCATGAAATCTGCAAATGACACAAAATTTGGGAATATATTATACAGGAAGAATCAGATAACCTTGTAGAGTGAAGCAACATCTTTGCAACATCTTTGCATTCATACCATTTATGATGTTAAATCATACATCATGTGTATTCACCATTCAGTGAAGATCTGGACATTGGCTACAGCTGGGAGTTCGACTGGGTCTATTCCCATGCTTAGAAACATTGTGAGGAACTGACTGAAAGATCTTGCACGTACACTGAAGGTCAAACTGATCACCAGATTTGGGATCAGGAAGAAATTATCCTCCAGGACACCTTGGAAAGGGACCAAAGGGTGTTTCCCTTCTTCTGCCATGAGAAGCATGGTCCTTTCCCTGGTTTAATATATGGTTAGATAATTATAAAAATTCCCTGACAGTACAGGCTACTGACTATTTTGGTGAGACTGTCTCTGTGGCTGGTTTTGACCAAAAATTCTATCCTGGACCTGAGAAAGTCTAACCAAAATCCTGAAAATGTCTACATTGTGAAAAAACAGGTTTTAGATGGAAGTAAGTTTTTCGGGGGCACGGGGGAAAAAAACTTGAATATTTTGGGATTGATACATATGAACACCAACTTTTTTCATTTATTGATAAAAATGTTGAAAGGACTTTCATTTTGTGGCAAAAATAAAACAAAACTTTAAAACCTCAAAAAACAGAAAAGCTGTTTTCTGGATAGCCCTATAGTCTACCAATAGTCCCACAAAAAAGCACGTGGGAATCACAGATAGTACTTACAGCTACATTATTTTACATCCAGAACCACAATCTTCTAAAAGCATCCTTTCTACAAACCTAAACATTTTACTCAGTTCCAACAACTCTTTGTAGCTTTCTTAAAAAGTACACAGCAGGAAAGCTTAACCCTCATCAAGCTGCCTATCACATACACCTTCCAACACTGATTAATGAGTGACCTTGATAAATCTATAGTCTATAACATTATTCTCCTGCTCAAAAGCCAATTCTGAAGATAGCTCATAAAGTATGATACCCAATGATTACAGACAACAATAATTCGACATCTGTTCATCCTCTGCTGCACAGGTTTAACCCACAATGATTAATGTCAGGGCAATGTGCACTGAGAATAAAGTATTAATCTTTATAAAAGGATGCTCAGCAGGCATTATCAACTTATGAATAACTAAGCAAAATGTTTAATCATGGCAGTGATACAGGAACTATGTTAAAACAAAATGCATGTACTACAAAGAATCTGTCAGTTTAAAACATCTGTGTTTTTTCCAACTCTGAGTAATGTGTTTTTTAATTTTTTGTTTGGTTACATTAAATAAGTGATTCATAAAGTACTGTTATATAACCTGGCTCCCATCACATAGCTTTGAGATGAAGATTAACACTTTTAATGAGAATTAAACACTAAGCGCTCATATAAATGGTGCATGCTGTCGATTAATCTTCTATGGACAAGCAATTTTCTGATCAAGAAACACTTGATTTTCCCACTGTCTAAAAAAAATAGCACCCACATAATTTGATACTTTCTTTTCCTTTACAAAATACTTTAAACCATAGAGAAATAAAAACAGCTAAACTTTAATAGAATCAGATAAATTAGGGGGGTTTAATATATAGCCCACAGGCTAGAACCAGCCCATGGAGCCCCACAAACTGGTCCTCAGTGCTGCCCCATTGACAACGTGCTGTGCCAGACCAGTCCATACTGCAGTGGTTCAGGCATGTGGGCGGCAGAGGGTGGTCCATGCACCTGACCCAGCTTGTGGATCAGCCCTGCCCCACTCAGCTGGCTCTTCACCAGTCTCTTCCTCACATTCTAAGTTTAGCTTAAGTGCTTAACAGTAATTCTTCACTCTTCTTTACAAAAATGAGAACCAAGCACCCTATTTTAGAGAAAGGAAACTGAGATTTTCAAGGAAAATGAAGTAATTAGGTGCCTTATTCCTAATAAACTGCAGAGGTAGTGGGGAGAAACCATGTGCAGAGAAGTGCAGTCACCATGGCTGTGGTGGTAGTGTGGGCCAGACTGGAAACAGCCCACCCTTGTAGCTAAGTTCCATTAAAGGAATTCCCCTGCT